CAACCGTTGGAATATGATCGCTAGAAGCTCGTAGTAAATTGCTAGGAACAGCACCGTTGCTAGGAACTTTGAGGAATGGCGTAAATAAATGAGCTAGAATGACCGACAAACTTGAAAATCACCGAACATGAATATTCCATAAGCTCGAAGAAAGGATACTCGCTCGGCTAGTCTTGACTACCATAACAAAGTGTAAGTATTTAAATTTATTCAGTTTGAATGTCAATAAGTCGATAAAATTTGGATGTGTTCTTTTGATCGAATAATGTTTTATACTAAAAATTATTTCGTATCTACAGAATTCAAGAAATATTTCTGTTTATACCTGGCAATGTCGTGACTGTTGAGAGCATATTCCATGAATTTTGTTGAAGAATGCAAACTTGAGCAAAAACCGTTTATAAACCGAGAGACTTTCGGTCGCTTGCTTCAGAAAACAGTTCCTGGTTGCAAAGGAAAAAAGAGGAGGATTTCTGGTAAGCTTCAGTATCCTTTACTTTTACTTTACTACAACTTTAAATAATCAGATAAAATTTCATTCAGCTGGTATGAAGTTTAAAAACGGACTTAAGCTTTTAGTTAAAATAGTTTCGAAAACCGGTACACAATACCTGTTTTTGTAAACATTGGCTTTACTCGGACGCAGATAAAGAAAATTTAACTTCAAATATTTGTTTCTGTGTATCACATTCTAGTTATTGAGATCTGAATAATGATATAACTTGCCAGAAATGCATGAATGCACCTTCCTGTACGTCATGGTCAACAGTCTTTATATGTGAAAAATTCCTTGAAATGTCATTGTATAAAAAACCTTTTCCATGGACGTCAAATATGTTCAGCTCAACGTTTTGGTTTCCATGGAGAGTGCTACGAGCATCATGAGAAGACACACCTCCCAATTCTTCTTTTTCATTGGTTTAGAGGTGCCACACCTCCAACGGTTGCACTCCCCGCCACTTCTCGCCCCTTCGGGGCTCGCTCGTAAATTCATCAACTCGCCACTTCGGGGCTCGCCTGCGCCTACGTAATAAATGGTCAGCGGAAAGACAAAGCAAAGAGCAAAATGGCGGAAAAAAATCAAAATTCCTCCATCCCATCGTCAAAAAACAATATTCTGCCGTGCTCCCTTGTCCAAATCTGCAATAGGCGCTTTAAACAAAAAGAAAAACCACAAACTGTGGTAGGCTGTGAGCTTTGCTTGGCGCAGTAGTACTGGGTTACATGGTACCAGTAGCAAGTTCGAAAATCTGACCTGACGATGTGTTCATCACTCCAAATTCGTTTAGCAACATTTCTTTGCCCGACTTCGATATTGCCGATTTATTAGACTTGGAGTTACCTTCTTGTGCTACGATAGATACCGATGACAATTCTTCAGAAGAGAAAAGCAAGAGAAACATTACAGTGGTTTCTGATTGACTTTAAGTAACGAAGAACTTAATTATTGGCTCAGTAAGTTCGTAGTAGAGGTGAGGGGGAAAAATCCATAGGGGGAGCCGTATCCACCTAACACTTTGTACCAGTTATGCTGTGGTACTCGGAGACACTTAAGAGAAAATGGGCGGCCAGAACTTAACATCTTTGAGAATCCTTCGTTCAAGTTATTTCAAGATTCTCTAGATGCTGAAATGAAGCGGTTGACTTCAACCGGCGTTGGTGCTAGCGTAAGACAAGCTGAATCTTTCTCTGATGAACAAGAAGAAAAACTCTGGGCTTTGGATTTGTTAGGCGTTAACTCTCCTCAAGTGTTGTTGGACACGATGGTCTTTCTGATTGATAAAAAAATTGCTTTAAGGAGTAGGAAAGAGCATCGTAACCTTCAATTTAATAAGCTCACACTGGTTCCAGCAAAAGACAACGAGCCAGAAAAACTAGTGTACACCTCATTTAGAGAAAAGAACAATTCCGGAGGTCTTAAGCATCGTGCTTACAAGGGTAAAAAAGTGGAGCATTGCTCGAACAAAGAAATGCCAGAAAGGTGTTTGGTCTGGTTGTACAAGAACTCCTTGGAGAAATGCACAAGGTCTGCTTTTGAGAAAAACAAATTCTATCTTACTCCAAGATAAAAGTGGAGTGTTAAAGATATAGAGGATATTCAATTAATGGAGTTGTTGTGGTTGTCATTCATTTATAGTAACATTTTGACAACTATGTACTTATAAATATTTTTTCGTGTTTTTCAACAGAGTGGTTTACGGCAAATCCAGTCAGGCATAACTCTTTGGGCCCAGCCGTTCAAAGGTTATGTCAAAAAGCTGGTATTGAGGGGTATTTTACGCTACACGTGGGGTTGAAGGTGGCGTTCCGGATAAGTTTATTTTGGAGAGAACCGGACATAGGGACCCAAGATCTTTGCAACGATATCAACGACCTAGCATTGAGGTGAAACAAGCTATTTCTAAGTGTTTACAAAGTAGAGGAAAGCCTTTTGCTGAACAGCTCAAGAAAAGGAAAAGCGATGACGATTCAAAAGAAGAGACACTGCTTGGAAGAAACAGAACAAAACCAATCAAGTATCACCTATTTTGAAAACTGCACATTTCATTTCAATTAGAATCAGTTTATCACTTAAATGTTTCCACAGTCAGTTCATTTTAGCAGCTGACAATTAAAATTCTGCAGAGTTGCAATAGTTTTGTGTTTCAGTAACTTAACTTAGTATATTTGTATAGTATAATTGATATTCAGCAGGGAAAAGTGGGGTTGATGAATTAAATTGAATTGCTCATTATAAATTCACTGGGCTACATATGAGTGACCGGGTAAAAACCTGAAACGTAAACAGCGGAGAGCTGAAATAGCAGAAATAGCTGAAATAGCTGAAAAGCGCAGAACTTCTTATTATCATAGATAATAATCAGTAGACAAATATTATGAAAGATGATATAATATAAATAATGTCAAACTAAACAAAATGGGAAAAAAGTTTAAAAAAACTGCAGAGATAACATCCAATGGACCGACCAGCAAGGTCAATGTCACGCATTCTCTTTACCAAAAATAAAATTTCTACATATTAGAAAATAAATAAAATTAAATAAAGTCCATGCACAGAGATTTCTTGTTAAGCCTTCTATCGTGCTGCTAAGATTTTGATCCTGGCTAGAAGAGCTTCAGTGACGGACCGCTCGGAAAATGGTCAGCTTTGAAAATATTTCTTTGATACTGAACAGCCATTAAGAAGTCCAACTTTATATTGTGACGTTGATCAAGCTACTTTTTCTGGAAGACCAAGCACCTTTTCTTAGCAACGGGCTGCTCATTGGTCAACATAACTTCGCTCGCCTACCGCGAAGACAGTTAAAAGCCATGTTGTTAACTGGGACTCTTTCAAGGGACTTTTCGACTGGCGTATGAGCTATTAAGGTTAGTTCAATTCATTGCTGTATCCTGTTAACTGTTAATGTCCATTCTTATGTGTTTTAATGTACGATAAGTGCTTTCGTACTTCAAATCCCCATGACGATGGAAAGATTTGACTCGTTCCCCGAACTCTTAACATGATCAGCCGGGTATCGCATTCTTTGTTAGCACTATAAACCAGTAGTTGTATATTCTATAGTTCTAACAGTTCAAATGATTCCCAGGCAATCTTGTTTATTCAACGTATGGCATATAACAATCTGCAGTGCGGTAACTAGAAAGAAAGTTTCAGGTTTTAACACCATCGAAGCACTGACGTACGTTGAACTTGATCATGTCTGCTAACGATCGGAACTAGAAGGTAGATGTCAGTCAGGTAAGATTTCATCAATTATTTTTCTTTACATAATTGTGTATACATAAGATCATGGTTATGCAAGTCCAAAAAACGAGTAGGCAGTAAGAGATCAAAGTTGGATTACAAGGGGAAAGGTAGGTAAAGAAGACTATTTTCACCACTAATATAGCCAAGGTTAGAGCCCGCGTGGAATGTTATCATACTCCCATGGGTGCGAAACGAACGCGGGAAACACCCCACATACCACGGGCTTATGGTTTCGTATTTAAGGAAGAGAATATTGCATTTCGGCTCATTACCAACTTACGACGTTCTAGTGCGGTGCAGGAGACAAATCTTTTTGGTTTTTTCCCTCTTCTCGGCGTCGCCGAAGCTACACGTTTAAACCCAGTTATGGCTTCTCAAGCAGTGAACCCAAGTGCCCCAAATCCAGTTCCTTTGGCCGCTTTACAGGGCCAGCGGGCACAACCAGCTCAAGAAGCGCAAGGGCAAGCTCAACTAGATCAAATTCCACCAGGACAAGCGCCTCATGGTCAACTTCAGGCAGCTCCAGCGCAAAGTCCAGTAGGACAGCCGCCAGCAGAACAAGCGGCAGATGAGGTAGTGTATTCGTTTTGTTACTTTGGGTTATGTGGGTCTTACTCGTCTCTTCGGTTTGGGTAGTTAAATATCGCCTTCAGTTTTGGTTTTATATTGTTACACGTCTGCCGTGGTGTAGTTTATGGCTTTTTCAAGGTCTTTTATTTCCCTCTTCTTTTGTGTTATTTTATTCGGTCTTTTTTTGGCTAATCTAGTTTAGCTTAGCTTTCATTTTATTCCATAGTATTATCGCTTTGCTTTAGAACTTTCATGTACTTCATTTAGTGTAAAAGTAACCTTTGCATTTATTTTTGGTTATGTATTTCTGACCTGGGTTGTTTAGTTAGGTTTAAGGGTAATGTGGGTCATGTCTATCATGTTTTCGTAGGTCTGGTCGTGTGTCGGCCGTGTTTTGGTAGTTCGGTCGTGTGACGACTCCGAGCTCGGTTAAATTTATTGTTCGGTCGTGTGTCGACCATGTTTCGGTAGTTCGGTCGTGTGGCGACCCCGAGCTCGGTTAAATTTATTGTCCGATCGTGTTTGACCATGTTCCCAGAGTATTTATTAGAACCTACTTTGTCTCCGTTTTTAGAATAACCACGCTGGCGATATTGTTGCTTGTTTGTCAAGCCTTCTGCTATTTTTTTTATTGCAGGTCATGTCCTCTCAGTTATTCCAGGCTCATTTAAAGCAGGCTAGATCTGCAACACGAGAAGAGGCATGGTGCGATTTGGAGGGACAACCCACTAACTGGGCCGGGCCACTACCCTCGCTGGGTATGGTGTCTGCGGGTAAGGCTTATGCTTCTCCCCAAATGTTGAGGTTTCGAGATCCTGAGAAGTTTATGGCAGGTAATCTAAGCAACCACTGCTCTCAATGGACGGAAGTGCTCCAGGATTATTCTAAGGGCGACCACATTCTACGTTACATTTCTGAGGGTGTTCGGATGAGCGAGTTTTTCATTCCATTCCGAGGGAGATTTCATGGTCGTTTTTACGCAAGTCCTATACCATCCAAGATGCAGTTCCTCAACGCCCCCTCGGCCTTCAGAGGTTTCATACACCGAACCAAATTAGACAGGGTTGTTAATGGCTCCCTGAGGATCTGGGGTCGGGTGGGTGAGGTGGATCAGCCACACTTAGTTATTCCGATTACGGTAGAACCGAGTAAACCCCGCATGTGTCACGACGAGCGGTTCCTGAATTGTTGGATCAAAGATCTGCCTTTTACCTTGATTACAACACAGACCTACGTGTCACCAGGACATCACCAAAAAACTTTCGACGACAAGAGTGGGTATGATCACGTGCGTCTGCACCCTACAAGTTATACCTTTTTCGGACTCGAGTGGGAAGGCTGGCATTTCACTTACGTCACCCTACCGTTTGGCTGGAAGGCGAGTGCGTATTTGTATAATAGCATCGGAATGGCTGCTACTCATTTCATACGTTCGTGGGGTGTGCCTTGTCCCCACATCGACGACAGACACGTAGGGGAATTAAGGCTGGCTCACGACGCACCCATTCATATTTTCATGGGGTTCAAATTAGCAGAGATGGCAGCTTTTATATCTTGTTCCGTCTTGATCTCCCTGGGATACGTGATTGGTCTGAAGAAGAGTAATCTACAACCTTCTACAGCAGTAAAGTTTCTGGGATATATTTGTGACTCCCAGAGACAGGCGTTTATTTTGCCACTAGATAAACGCCAAAAGTTCGCCAACCTCAGGGAAGCTATTTTGCTCCATAAGAGCGTCTCCTTGATGAATCTTTAAAAAAATTCGCAGGGAAAACCACGTCTTTTGCTCTGCTGGTACCAGCGGCGAAGCTGTACACCAATGCAGCCTACCATGCTACCACACTCGCTGCTAAACAATCGGCTACTCAGTTACGGATTTCTTCAGAACTCCATCAGGAACTCCCGCACGGGCGGTTTTTGGACTCTTGGAAAGGGTGTTTCGAGTGGAGAAGCGAACGTCACTTGCCACTGACTCTGTACTCGGATGCCTCCAATTTCCGTTGGGAAGGCCGCTTGGATTTCCCTGAAATATTCCTACTCGAGGCGCGAGGTTACTGGAATGAGCTTTGGCGTGGTTTACCATCGCCGCCCGAGAGTTTCAAGCGTTGTGGACAACAAAGTTTTCATGGATGGTTGGGAAAGACAAGTCTCTCGGTCGCCTGTTTCCGATTTTTCCCTTTTTCTCAAAAACAAAAAATACGCAGTCTAGAACTGCATGCAGCTTCTCTTTTGTTGAAAAAAACGCAGAGAATACATTTTAGGCATTCATACTACCATTTTAGATATATATCATGGACTTACATTGTATGAGAATCAAAAAAATTAAAAATTTGTCAAATAATAATTCATTCAACAATTTTTTTTATTAACAGTTTTTATTAATAGTAACAATAAAAGTATAACGTGTACTTATTTTACAGGTTTATGCTTCCAAGTGTAACATTGCACTTTGTTTGCTATTTAGAAATCTTTAAAATGTAATTGTATGTAAGTTATGGAACTGTAACTCAAGTATTCTAAGTTAATTAACTTGATCTGTATAACTATTTAACATGTTTTTGGTACTGTAATGTTTCTTTTTTTTTTTTGTAGCAAATTTCTTTATAACAGAAATTGGGTAATGGTTTTTGTAGAGTCATCTAGAATCATTTGCTTGAAATCTGATTGCAGCAGTAGTTTTCTCAACTCAACAAGTTCAATGGTATCAATGTTTRTGTCAATGTTGATTGAGGCTAGGAAGCTTTGCAATGCATCATTGAAACATGTGTAGTTTTGAAGTTTTCCTGTTTTTGATTTTATCATCAACTGGCCCACAAGCTTGTTGTTGCAATTTTCCTCTAGTGTGGTCATTTGACAGTTTTGACATGTGATCATGCCATCTGATGCTGATTCTTTAAGACAACTATTGCAAGCTATGCATGCTAGCTCTCTCTTGAGTTTTGCTCCAACACATTTACCTTCAGTGATGTTTAAGGTAAGGGTTATGTCTTCAGTATTCATGCTAATATCTTGGATGTCACCTTGTAGCTGGATGGTGGTTTCTGCATTTGTACTCAGGTACTTGACATCATTGAATGATCTAATTTTGATATTCTTGAAGTTATATGTCTTTCCACACTCCACTACATCAATAAGGTGTTCCCATAGTGTTAATTTTATTGTATTAGTATGATCAGCAATTAGGCAATCAGCTTTCATTAGCTGCTTTCCTTTGTAAAAAATTGGTTGTTTGTTGTCTTCCTTACTCATAACTTTGGCTGTAACATCAATAGTTTTGAACACATCACCATCAAATGCTTGCTGAACATTGTAGACTGTAGATGCTACAGTTGGATTGTGCTCAAAATCTATCATAGYTGGGGTAATTTTGGCCATTTTAACGATTTTGTATTCTTCCAACGAGTCAGTGAAACTGGTGCTTGGTAATCGTTTGACTCCACTAATTTTTACAGGCGACTTGGAGCTATAAGCTTGTTGCAAAGTGGTTCGTTTTTTTGTTTCATAGCATACTGCTCTAACTTTGGTTGTGTCATCTGTCTGAACAAGGCAGTCAAAATATGGTGACTTTTTAGCGTTCTTGATGGAACTAAGAG